GCCCGCGTGAGCGCCATCTCACTCTCCTTTATTTCTTTCCTTTATTCTCATTTATTTCAATAAGACTTGTTTGGGGATATACTTATGCACTTGTGTTACCATGGTAACAGATAACACATTTAAAATTGAATACAAGATTCCTGAGACCAAGCTGGTCGATTTGATGTGTCATATGTGTGGGTGCTTGATCCTGCTTGGACAGAAAATGGTTGAACATTCTCAACCAATCAGAGAGCAGCACTGTTTTCCCGCCTTTTCCCCTGGCTGTTGGAGGCCTGCAGCTGTACTCCTGTTAATGAGAGAAGCCTTTAAATCTGTCCTTCAGAAGTGAAATTGGACCTGTCAAACTTCTCATCACCATTCGAAAAGTACTGCATCGATTAGAAAAATTCAAATCGCGTGAGCGGCAGAAGGCTTTGATGGTCATCTGTATGTATTTTTATTTGCCTACCATGAATTGTCTAGAAGCTATGATGAGAAACTTTTAGCTGTCTGAAGCCGATCAGAGGAGAAAATCTCTGTTCCTTTAACATGGGTTTCAATGAGGGAAAATCTGGGTCTCTCCTCTTTCGGAGGCTTGTAGCAAAAGAACGGTAACACAGATAAAATGAAACCCATTCTGAAAAGCTGACAAAAATTCCTACTTTTTGAGTTATAATTTGTTTTGGTAGTCCAAACGGCCTGGGGGTAGTAAAGAGTTGTTCACAGATGATGTGAAGTTCAAAAGTTAGAGTGCGGCATTTTCTGTTTAGAGTGGTGGGAAACTTTTTTTTTATTTGAATTTTCTCAAACAAATGAACTGTACGACCACAGTGTTTGGAGTACAGTCATGAATTATAGCTCAAAACGAAGGTATATTTGTTAGCTGTAAGCCAGTGTGTGTCTCATTTCAATCGGACCTACGGTTCTCTCGGGACAACGCCAGAAATTGAGCAAGGGAGGGTCACTGCTCCTATCTTTCCCCATTACAACTTTTGTGGATTTTTCTGAAAATTTCAAGTCGTACCTCAACTTCTACCTGCGATTTTAGAAAAAACGTAAAATATATCAAAAAGCCTCTTTAATATGTTAAACAGGAAAGTCTTGTGAGTTTGTTAAACTTTGAATGAAGTAAAGGAACCCAACAGAGTTTTAGGTCAAAAAAGTGATAGGAATTTGCTAAAAATTGACCAATCCCATTCATGTCAATGGGAAATATTTAGCAGAAAAAGCTTAATAACTCAAAAATTTTTCAAGATATCAATGCCAAAAGTAATGGCCGGAAAGAGCTTAACAAGCTGAACGTTTTGATAAAATTTATAAAATTGTTGAAATAGTTATAAATTTGAAGGAGTTGAAAAAGTTCAAAAAGTGTACGGAAGTAGAATAATAATAAGAAGAACTGCATTCAAACAATAAACAAAAAGACATGGATGGTTTGGGTAGTATTTCTAATAAATTGCATCTCTAGATCAGTGGCTCGCAAAGTTGGGGTTGAGACCAGCAGATATGATATTCAGAAATCAAGTTCAGTTTAAAATGTTGTTGTTATAATACCGTATTTCTGTCATAATTGTGATTAATTAATTGTTAATTAACCCTCAGGCTTCACTTTAATTTTCATACCAAAGAGTCACTAGAGGATAAAAACATCCTCTTGTAAAAGTGGCTATAAAAATGTTCCTCCTTGAACCGTCACCTTATTGTGGTGGAGGAGTTTGAGTGCTCTAATGATCCTAGGAGCTATGTTTTCTGGGGCACTTTGTGCCCCTGGTAGGGTCTCCCATGACAAATTGGTCTTAGGTGAAGGGTGAGACAAAGAACGGTTCAGAGGATCTTTCATGGATTTAAAATCAAAGAGTCGGAGTACCCGGCCCGGAAGGTTACCGGGGTCCCACCCTGGAGCCAGGCCTGGGGTTGGGGCCCGTGAGCGAGCGCCTGGTGGCCGGGCTTTTGCCCATGGGGCCCGGCCGGGCCCAGCCCGAACCGGATACATGGGCTCATCCAACTGTGGACCCACCACCCGCAGGAGGAACATGAAGGGTCCGGTGCAGTGTGGATTGGGTGGCAGACCGAGGCGGGTGCCTTGGCGGTCCGATCCCCGGACAAGGAAACTGGTTTTTGGGACATGGAACATCACCTCGCTGGCGGGGAAGGAGCAGGAGCTTGTGGCAGAGGTTGAGCTGTATCGGCTAGATATAGTCGGACTCACCTCGACACATAGCATTGGCTCTGGAACCCAAGTCCTCGAGAGGGGTTGGATACTCTCCTTTGCTGGAGTTGCTCCGGGTGAGAGGCGGAGGGCTGGGGTTGACTTTTTGTTAGCCCCAAGACACTCTGCCTGTGTGTTGGTGTTTACCCGGGGGACGAGAGGGTAGCTTCCCTGCGCCTTCGGGTTGGGGAACGGGTCCTTACTGTCGTTTGTGCTTATGGGCCAAATATCAGTTCAGAGTACCGACCCTTTTTGGAGTCCCCGGGATGAGTGCTAGATAGTGCTCCATCAGGGGACTCCATTGTCCTGCTGGGGGACTTCAATGCTCATGTGGGCAATGACAGCATGACCTGGAGGGGTGTGATTGGGAGGAACGGCCTGCCTGATCTTAACTCGAGTGGTGTTTTGTTATTGGACTTCTGTGCAAGCCGCAGTTTGGCCATAATGAACACCATGTTTGAACATAAGGATGCCCATCGGTACACTTGGTACCAGGGCATCCTTGGTTGCAGGTCGATGATAGACTTTGTAGTCGTATCATCTGACCTGCGGCTGTATGTTTTGGACACCCGAGTGAAGAGAGGAGCGGAGCTGTCAACTGATCACCACCTGGTGGTGAGTTGGATCAGATGGCAGGGGGAGATGCCGCGTAGACCTGGCAGACCCAAACGCATTTGAGGGTCTGCTGGGAATGCCTGGCAGAAGAACCTGTTTTCAACTCCCACCTCTGGCAGAGCTTTGACCGCGTCCCGAGACCAGTGGGGGACATTGACTCCGAATGGGCCTTGTTCCACTCTGCAATTGTTAAGGCGGCTGTTGCTAGCTGTGGTCACAAGGTGGCCGGTGCCAGTCGTGGTGACAACCCCCGTACCCGCTGGTGGACACCAGAGGTTCGGGGAACCGTAAGGCTGAAGAAGGAGGCCTACAGTGCGTGGCTGGTCAGTGGGTCTCCGGAGGCAGCAGACAGGTACCGGATAGCCAAGCGGGGTGCAGCAGTGGCAGTTGCCGAGGCAAAATCTCGGGCGTGGGAGGAGTTTGGTGAGGCCATGGAGAAACACTATCGATCGGCACCAAAGAGGTTCTGGCAAACTGTCTGGCGCCTCAGGAGAGGAAGGCAGCAACTCGCACACACTGTTTACAGTGGGGATGGGGAGCTGCTGACGTCAACTGGGGCTATAGTCGGACATTGGAAGGAATACTTTAGCTCCTCAATCCCACCTACGCACATTCCAAGAAGGAACCAGAGTCGGGAGACCTGGGGATGGACTGTCCAATCTCGGGGGCAGAAGTTCCTGAGGTAGTCAAACAACTAAACAGTGGCGGAGCCCCGGGGGCGGATGAGATTCATCCTGGGTATCTCAAGGCTATGGATGTTGTAGGTAGGGCTGGGACGACGCGTCGACGTAATCGATTACGTCGACACGTAAAAACCGTTGACGCAAATAATTTGCGTCAATGCGTCATCACGTTCAAAAACAAACATTGCAGCAGCAAGTAGTAGCAACATGAGTGGGGCAGTCGACTTAAATCACTCAACCCGAACTCGCAGTTCAAAAGTATGGGACTATTTTAACAGAAAAGGAAGCGTTTCAATCGTTTGCCGGCTGTGTAAAGTGGGAATGGCCTATCATAAAAGCACGACGGCTATGCACCAGCACCTCAAACGAAGGCATCCAGGAGCAGCTTCTGCAAACAAAAAAACACCGTAAGTTTGCAACTTTTTTTTTTTACTAACGCTGTTTTATAAATCCAAACACCCCCACGTAGCCATGCACTAAAGGTTGGTTTATGCTTGATGCGTCTGCGAGGTCCGCGCAGCGAAATGGTGTCATTTTAACAACCACGCCCCTCCACCGCGCCTCAGCACGGCCCAAAATTTACGCAACGCGCACCTAGGAAAATTTCTAACCACGCCGACGGTCGGACTTGGGAAAAAATGGCGGACCGGCAAGAACTAGTATGGCAGAGGTTCGTAAATACAGACATTTGTATGATTCAGCTCTCAGAGATCACCGTGATCAACATGTTGTTAATAATTCTTGGACAGAAATAGCTCGCACTGTCGGAAAAGACGAGGACGCTGTTAAAAAATGCTGGAAAGCCATGTTGTAAACAGTAATTTCTACTTCTACTATGGCGTAGTGTTGGATGCATGCTGTAGAGCTCCATGCTGCCCCGTTCAGTTTGGGAGAATATTGGCTCACCACAGAGACAAGACGCACGAACCATAAACGCTGCCAGTTGTGAAGCGTGTTCCATCTGCGAGCCGCATCACCAAGCGGAAAGTGAATGTGTCAAGCATAAACCAAGCTTAACACACACACAAGCAGACCCACTCGCACACAAAGATAAACACTCAACCCCTGGAACTCACTAACCCTCATTTAAGCTGCTTAGTAGTAACATATAGCAGCAGCTGTTATCTGTTTTGTTGGTTTTTATTTGTGGCTCATGATGGCCAAATGAATCGGAATGCTCACGTTCTGATTATGAGAATCGGCGAGAGCTGAAAATGTGGGAGAGCGCTAATTGGCCGCAATAAAATTGTTAACAATGTACCACCTGCTAAATGTAGCCGTCGTGGACATTATTACAATATTGTTGAAGTGCTTTCAAAAGCGAAATGACAACGGACTCTTGATTGTCAAGTTTAATGCCTCATCCTGTTTGAATGTTATTTTTCATACATCATGCTCCTCCAGCTTGTTGATCTTATAGATCTAAGTTGCACCATCTAATGACTACAAAAATGTGCAGCATTTTGTGTTAACCTCTTTTTTTTAACAAATCTTATAGATTAAATATTTTGAGAAAACACTGAAATACAGATCTTCAAATTACTATTTTGATAATATGCTTTCTACATAAATATTTCTGTAATTATTTTAATTTATTTGTGTGTTGTCCGTGTGATTTATGTTTTCAGGAACAAACAGAAAAGTCTGGAGGACTACTGTCAGAAAAGAACACCCTGCACCCCCCAGGAGGTGGCTGTACTTACTGAGAGCGTCCTGTCTATGATTCTGAAAGACATGAGGGCACTTGCTGACCACTTTTCAACCAGGTTACACTCTGCCTTCTAGGCGACATTTTACAAGCATGATGGAGAGAAAGTATCAAACTTCAGTTGAGAAACTAAGGAACGAACTAAAAAAAGCCTCATCCAAAATCTCCTTTACCACTGATGCTTGGACAAGTCTAGTCACAGAGTCCTACTTAGGAGTAACTTGTCATTTCATTAATGACAATTGGGATCTTCTCTCCTTCAATTTAACGAGCACTCCCAGTTGAAGAGCGCCACACTGCAGAAAACCTTGCCTCCTGGGTGGAGAAGGTGGCAGAAAAATTCCACATTTCCTTGCATAATTTCCTTGCCATTGTGCATGATAATGCAAGTAACATGGTTGCAGCTCTCCACATCGTGGAAGAGAAGTTTGGAGTGGTATCCTATCGGTGTGCTGGGCATACATTGCAACTGGTTGTAAACCATGCACTGAAAGACCTCAAGATTAATAAGGCACTATCAGCTGCACGGGGCCTCGTAAAGCACATCAGGAAAAGTGAGCCAGCTAACATCAAGCTTAAGGAGAAGCAAAAACAGATGGGTACAGCTGAGCATAAACTAATCCAGGATGTAGCTGTCAGGTGGAACATACTACATGATTGAACGTCTGTTGGAACAGAGATGGCCAGTAGTTGCGACGCTTTCAGATCCAGAAGTCACACAGCGTGGGAAACAGTACGTGGATCTGAAAAATGATCAGTGGATTCTTCTGGGTGATTTGAAGGAGGTGCTCAAGCCTTATGAGCAAGCCACTAATGTTCTTAGTGGACAATCTTATGTCACAGCCTCTGTTCTCCCCCCACTGCTGAAGGGTCTTCTGAAATCCACTCAAAACAAATCCTTTGATTCTGCTGCAGTGAACATTTTCCAGAACAGTGCAGAAGAGGAAATCATGTCAAGGTGGCAGCCAGAGGTATCTGCATTTCAAGAAGATGGGAAAAATGTGTCACTCATTGCTGCTGCCCTCGATCCACGTTTTCGTAAACTGAAATTCCTTTCTCCAGAGGATGCTCTGAAACTGCAAGTGAGTACAGAAGGATGCACTTGACCTCAAAAGGGAGCAGAGATCACAGGTTCAGCAGGCAACTGTGGGGCAGGAAGCCTCAGCAAGTCCCCCAACAACGAAGAGGTCTGTGTTGTACACTTTGTTGGGTACAGATTCTGAGGAGGAAGATTGTAATGAAAACATTGACCAGGGTGGGGACGGAGAAAATGAGACAGTGAGGAAAGAAGTACTGTTGTACTTTGGGGAAGCACCTATTCCAAGGGATAATGACCCCCTTACATGGTGGAAGAATAATGCAACAAGATTCCCCACACTGGCTACTTTAGCCAAATCATATCTGGCTGTACCTGCCACATCAACACCCTCTGAAAGGCTTTTTTCTGTTGCTGGAAACATCGTCACCAAAAAAAGGACAAGCCTGACTGCTGAGCATGTAGGCATGCTAACATTCCTTCACACCAATGCATAACTGCTTCATGTGATGAATATGATCGGACGGACGGACGGACGGACGGACGGACGGACGGACGGACGGACGGACGGACGGACGCACGCACGCACGCACGCACGCACGCACGCACGCACGCACGCACGCACACAGAGAGAGAGAGAGAGAGAGAGAGAGAGAGAGAGAGAGAGAGAGAGAGAGAGAGAGAGAGAGAGAGAGAGAGAGAGAGAGAGAGAGAGAGAGAGAGAGAGAGAGAGAGAGAGAGAGAGAGAGAGAGAGAGAGAGAGAGAGAGAGAGAGAGAGAGAGAGAGAGAGAGAGAGAGAGAGAGAGAGAGAGATTTTTTAAAGAGCACTTTTTTGCAGAGAGCAAAGTGAATTTCTTTTTTGTTCAAAGACACCATTGCTGCTGTTTATATTTTAATTATTTTTTGTTGTTTTGCACAACATTTAATTTCTTGTTAAATGCTACTTCTAAAATAAGATTGTACTACTACTTTATTTTGGATTTTTTAAATTAAAACAACAATGCATAACTACTTCATGTGATGAACAAAAGAAAAGGCAAAATTGATTTTATTTTGAAAACAAACAACACTTTTTTGCAGAAAGCAAAGTGAATGTTAGATTTTGTTTGTTAAAAGACGCCATTGCTGCTATTTATATATATTATTTGTTATAAATTTTCCTTGATTTATATGAATAGTTTGCACAACATTTAATTTTGTTAAATGTTATCTCTAACATAAGATTGTACTACTATTACTAGCCTGGCAAGCCAGACTAAATGAATGTATTATTTAGTCTGGCCACGCTCCATTGACGGCTCTCGGTTGTGGGGCGGGTTCTACCGTTGTCTTTCAAATGATCTCCGCATTCCACTGGACAATGAATGTGACATCCTCTTGTTTCACTCTGTTGCATCATCCCACCCACCAGGCACATAGAGTGCCCTGATTGGCCCACAAAGCGGATAACGCTCTGTGATTTGTTCACTAAGCAGATAGAGCACTATGATTGGCCCACCATTATGGACCAATCACAGCTCTTTATGTGTTTGAAACCCCTCTAGAGAGCTGTGATTGGCTAGCCAGAGTCCTGGTAGGAGCTGCTGAGGTTCCAATGGAGCATGCCTAGACCATTCTTTGCAAAGCAAGAATTTGGTCTAGTTCACTAGGCTATACTATTACAACTTCATTTTTGAATTTTTTTAAATTAAAATGTGTTCAAATGAAGACATTTGCATTTATTTCATTGAGATACATAAATTAGTAATAATCAAACTGCTATAAAAGTCAAATAATTGGGAAATAATCAATAATTTAATCTAATCAAAATCTAATCAAATTAACAAATTAATCGTTAGATTAATTGATGCATCGAAAAAATAATCGCTAGATTAATCGATTACAAAAATAATCGTTTTGCCCAGCCCTAGTTGTAGGGCTGTCGTGGTTGTCACGTCTCTGCAACATTGCGTGGTCATCGGTGGCAGTTCCTGTGGAGTGGCAGACCAGGGTGGTGGTCCCCATCTTTAAGAAGGGTGACCTGAGGGTGTGTTCCAACTATAGGGGGATCACACTCCTCAGCCTCCCTGGATAGGTGTACTCCAAGGTACTGGAGAGGAGGGTTCGATCGATAGTTGAATCTCAGATTGAGGAGGAGCAATGTGGTTTTCGTCCTGGCCGTGGAACTGTGGACCAGCTCTATACCCTTGTAAGGGTGATGGAGGGGGCATGAGAGTTTTCCCAACCAATCCACATGTGTTTTGTGGATTTGGAGAAGGCTTATGACCGTGTCCCCAGGGGCACCCTGTGGGAGACGCTCCAGGAGTATGGGGTGGGTGGGTGGCTTTCTGTTAAGGGCCATTCAGTCCCTTTACCAGAGGAGCGTGAGTTTGGTCCGCATAGCCGGTAGTAAGTCGGACCTGCTCCCGGTGAGGGTTGGACTCCGCCAGGGCTGCACTTGGTCACCGGTTCTGTTCATTACCTTTATGGACAGAATTTCTAGGCGCAGTCGTGGTGTGGAGTGTGTCGAGTTTGGTGGCAGGAGAATCTCATCTCTGTTTTTTTGCGGATGATGTGGTCCTCCTAGCTTCATCCAGCTCTTATCTTCAGCTCTTGCTGGGTAGGTTCGCGGCCAAGTGTGAAGCGGCTGGGATGAGGATCAGCACCTCCAAATCTGAGACAATGGTTCTCGACCGGAAAAGGGTGGCTTGCCAACTCCGGGTCGGGAGAGAGGTCCTACCATAAGTGGAGGGGTTTAAGTATCTCGGGGTCTTGTTCACGAGTGAGGGTAGGAGGGATCGGGAGATCGACAGGCGGATTGGTTCAGCGTCTGCAGTGATGCGGACGCTGAGCCGATCTGTCATGGTGAAGAGGGAGCTGAGCCAGAAAGCCAGGCTCTCGATTTACCGGTCGATCTACGTCCCAATCCTCACCTATGGTCATGAGCTTTGGGTAATGACCGAAAGAACGAGATCGCGGATACAAGCAGCCGAAATGAGTTTCCTCCGTAGGGTGGCCGGGCTCAGCCTTAGAGATAGGGTGAGGAGCTCGGACATTCGGGAGGGACTCGGAGTAGAACCGCTGCTCCTCCAGATCGAGAGGAGTCAGTTGAGGTGGTTTGGGCATCTGGTCAGGATGCCTCCTGGATGCCTCCCTGGGGAGGTGTTTCGGGCATGTCCTGCCGGCACGAGGCCCCCGGGTTGACGCAGGACACGTTGGAGAGGTTACATCTCCAATCTGGTCCGGGAACGCCTTGGGGTCCTGCCGGAGGAGCTGGTGGAGGTGGCCGGGGAGAGGATGGTCTGGAGCTCCCTAGTTGGGATGCTGTCCCCGTGACCCGGGCTCGGATCAGCAGAGGAAAACGACGATGACGGCTATAAAAAAATGCATACATTAAATTTTTTTTGTTGCTTTTTTGCATAGATTTTTAACCCTTGAAATGCCAGTTTGAATACTCAAAGTGATTGATGTAATTTATTAAATAAACACTAAAACTGAGTTTTTTTCTAAAAAAGACATTTTTTTGCCTGGGGTGTGTAGTACAAATCAGTCTTAATTGTTATGAAATATCTAAAATTTAGAATTTTTTGCATTTATAGTTTTTACATAGCAACAGATTTAAAATTGACTATACACTCAAGCCATTTGAGGACAAAAACGTTCACTTTTAAAACCGCTTTAAAAATGGCCCAAATGATAGAGCTGAGGAAAATAATCAAATAATCGATGCATCGGGATGCGGACATAAACGATTCTGCATCGTAGAAGAGTACGCCATAATCGATTATGGTGGAATGTAGTTTTGTTTTTTTAAGCGCACCATCCAAATCTGTCAGAGTGAGCGTCCTCCACATTTACCTCCGCCTTAATGTGGTACTGCAGGGCTGAGCGCTAGAGTTGTCACCCGAGACCAAACCGGAACCGAATCAGCCCGACCGGTTCTGTTGGATTTGGGCCGTGAATTATGTTAATTGAGCGGGTTGTCGTGCGGCGCGCTCCGCTCGCTCGATCAGCGACCGAGAGAGAGAGGGAGAGAGAGAGA